GTCTGCCATGCGTGAGCCATGACCAAGGACCAATTCCTGTGCGGCCCAACACGCTGCAGCCCCATGGGTGACCCCTACCATTCCCCATTCCCCCTGGGGCATAGCACCCCTCTGCCTCCCACCCCAGCCCTTGGTCCCACCGGGTGCTCCCCCTTTTAACAAAATAAAGGTTTCCCTGTACCGGGGCGGCCGCCTTGGCTCCTGCCTTGGAAGGACGGGTAGTGGGAAGGGGGCAAGGACGCGCCGTGGGGTGACAGCTTCTCTGCTGTGCCCCCAAATGGTGTTTGGGCTCCTGTCCCAGAGGAATTTCCTTAATTTGGGAGGAGAAAGGTGCTTTTTTTTTTTTGCCTTATCAGCCCCAACGCTGGTAGGTGAGCTCCCTGCGGGCTTGGAGGGGGCTCCCGGGGGGGTGGGATGCTCCTGGGCTGGGGGACCCCCCAGCCCCTCTTTCCTCGGACCTCAGGGGAGGTCTGAGGGGCTCAGGGAAGGCTGAGAGATGGTTCTGGGAATTGCAGAAGGTCTATGGGATTTGGGGCTCGGGGAAGGTCTTTGGGTGTGGGGAGGGTCCTAGGGTTTCTGTGGGGTCCCTACCCTTTTCCCCAGGGTCTCCTGTTTGCAGGAGACCAGCCAGATCCCGTTTTGCATGGGAAGAGAGTGGATAAGGAATTAGCCCCAATGTTATCGGGGCCAGGGAGAGCTGATGGGCTCTGCCATCACTGGCAAGCGTGGGAGAGCAGCTGGGGGCTGGGGCTGGGGAGCCAGCATGGGCTGGACCCCCTCCCCTCGCCCTGGCCTCCTGGGGACAGGGACAGCAGGGGACAAGGTCCCAAACTGCCACTTTCCGCGGAGCATGCGTGAGAGCCTGGGACCAGGTTTCCGCCGGGAGCACCGAGGGGTTTCCGGCTGCCCACGGCCTCATGGTGATGGAGCCAAGATCCAGCTGAATTTGATCTGGGGGAATCACCGGCCAAATCCCAGTGGATGGCAAGAGTTCAATCTTAGCCCCCACAGCAGGGGAGCCAGCAGTGAGTTTTCCTCCAGATGAGCTCCGAGCTGAGGGGATTTACTCAATTTAGGTTTTTGTCACTCCAGTGCTTTCCCCCCAGCTGTCTGAGGGTCTGGGGTGGCAGAGGGACGGGCACAGCCCGGGCGGAGGAGACGTGCCCCATGCCTCCATCTGTGCCAGCCGTCAGGCAGCCCTGCATGCCAGCCACTGCCCGCTGACGTCCCGCGGGGTGTAGGTTTCATCCCAACCTGTGGGGCACGCGGGCCTGGGGATAATTTTAGTCTGCTCCGTTTTTCCAGGCCAAGGTGCTTTGGCATCCAGGGATGATGGCGTGACTTGCCTGGCTGGTGACAGCATCCCAGGGCAGAGCAGGATCCGTGCTGCAGCCCCAGGGTGCAACCCCCATGGCTGGAGGGGGGTTCCGGCTGTGGTGGGGGATGCCGGAGCCTGGCTGGGAGGCTTGAGGCTGTCATCCTCTCTCTTGGGACTGGGATTTTGGGGGAGGCTTTGGGGTGCAGATTCAGCTGGAGTCCTGGGCATTTGATCCGCTCTTGCAGAACTGATTCGTCACCAGAGCCAGCGTGTGAAAAGATGTATGGAAATCCTATAGCAACAGTTGTTCCTGAGCTGTGCAAAGTTCACATAGTGCTAAGGCTTCCCAGATGCTCGTCGTGCCGTGGGTTTCTGTTCCGTGCTCCCGAAAGGCTCTTGGAAGTCGCTGGCCATTCCCCTTGGCCAGCACAGCCGTCTCCTCCCTGGCTGCCCGGCAGGTATGCTGCTCCAGAGGGGGTGGTAGCAGGAGATCTCATCCTGGTGGATGCACAAGATAACACCAAAATATTTTTTAAAAAAAGCAGAATTTGGGGTGGGTTTTGTTGCCGCTGCGCTCAGGGTGACCTGCTTTAGAGGGTTTGAGATTGCAGAGTACTGGCATGAGTTCAGCACGCTGCTCAAGGTACCACGTAGAGCTGCAAGAAAGGGGGGAAATACCTGACACTCACCTTGGGGGAGGATTTACCGGGAAGAAAGTGTCCAGGAGGTAAATACTATAGGGACTGGGCTAACACTAAACACTATAGGAACTAGGGTGGTGCTCAGAAAGGAGGGGGTGTGCTGGTCCCCAGGAGATTCCGGCAGTGTGATGTACTGGGACGTTCTGCCTCGGTTCCCCTCTTTGCAGCCCTGGGGCATTTTATGTTCTCCGTGGGCAGAGAATATTAAAGTGCCTTTTTTAGGCTTCAATTTTTGCTTCCTAGAGGCTGGCTTGAAGGGAGCGCGATGTCTTTTCCCTTATATATCTTCATGAAAGCAAAATGGTTTTGCACAGCTTATCAGGTGAGGGTTAAATCCATCTGTTAACACGGGGGAAACCCTAATGGAAATTATGTGCCAGATCCCGCTGGGGAACCGAGGCCGCTTTTTTTTTTTTCTGCCAACGAGCAGAGTTGCAGCTAATCTGCGGGAAACGCTCCATGTAACGATGTCAAATGGACTTACAAGGTATCGGTGACAAGTCACAGCACACTGTCCCTGGCCCAGGCGTTCCTCAGCTTTGCCACTGATGAGTGCCTGGCTGTGTAACAGTGTAATTATAGTTTTGTGGGTCTCTCCAGGCACGCACAGGGTTGCACACAAATATGCCTTTTTATAGCTTGTGGAAGTGTGGGTGATGCCATCAGTATTCGCGTCTCGTTTCTGGCTGTGGCGTCCCTGTTCCGGCCAAGCAATCAGAAAATACTGGTGTAACATGAGGACAAGGTGGTGGATCTGACTTCCTTCTGGTTGCTTCACCAGGCTGTTTAAAAAACCCCTTGAAATAGGCTTGGTGGGTTTTGGGGTGACTTCTTGCTAATCTGTGGCAGCTGCTTTTCTGGAGCAATGTTTCTAATTAAGGCGTGCCCAAAACTCTTCTGAAATGAGCTGTGCTGACACCACAGCCAAGTTATTTTAGTGCCCAAAAGATCACCACACTCATCCCCCGTGAGAGGTTTTGTACTTTAACGTGGTGAACCTTTTATGTGTGGTGTGCTGCATGTGCTTTAGGACATCAGTTTAATGGCACTTCCTATCTTTAGCCGGCGTGTTTCAATAGTGGGTTGACAGATCTCAACACGCTCACCTATCTCACCACAGTATTTAAGCTCCGTTAGTTACCAGGCACAGAGCGGCATGGGGAGTTTATTATTAGCGTGGAGCCATTAGCCGAGGACAATGCTGCAACCAGGGCTTCGCTCTGGGTTTGTCTCGTTTGGAGAAAAGGAGGCTGAGGGGAGACCTCCTTGCTCTCTGCAGCTTCCTGAGGCAGGGACGTGGAGAGGGAGGTGCTGAGCCCTTCTCCCCGGGATTCAGGGACAGGATGCCTGGGAATGGCTCAGAGCTGCACCAGGGGAGGTTCAGGCTTGACATGAGGAAGCATTTTGTTATGGAGAGGGTGCTCAGACCCTGGAAGAGGCTTCCTCAAGAGGTGGTCGACATCCCAAGCCTGGCAGTGTTTGAGACATTCGGACAATGCCCTTAACACCATGCTTTAACTTGTGGTCAGCCCTGCAGTGGTCAGGCAGTCGGACCAGATGATCCTTGTCAGTCCCTTCCCACCAAACCGTTCTAGCCTGTTCTGTTCTATTCTGCAGCTGCAGCGAGCTGCTCTTGTCCCCAGCACAGGTGAGTGCCAATGTTGCCGCAGGCGCGGCTGGCAGCACTGCAGACCCGTCTGAGCAGAGGGGGCAAAGAGGAGATGAGGTTTTTTGAAGCGCTCACTATTGTGCGACTCGTGCTTCCTGCAGCGCTGCTTGGGTGAAGGTCACTGCTTGGCTCTCGCGGGTGGAGGTTCTGCCTGGTGAAGAATAGGAGTTGTGCTATTCATACAGGAGGAAACTCGGGCAGAACGTTGTTCTCAAAGAAAGTATGTGATAAGCAGGAACATAAGTCTACCACTCAGCTTTGCTTCAGGAACAATATCCCCGTTCCTTTCTCAAGCACATTGTGCTCAGTTATGATTTATTTCAATATTCCAGTTGTTTGCCACATTACTTTTGTGCTGTCTTGCTTGGAAGGGGAGGCTTTTTTTATCTCACTGAAATACTGAGAGAAAGCCTACCAACAGAAAAATCAGTTAAATTATTGCCACTGATATTTTACTTCATTTTGCTAGAAAGGGAGAGCATGGATGAATAAGAAATCTGTGGAGTTTCCACAAAAAAAAAAGAGAACCTCCTATGCCTACATTTTACAGAGTTGTAATGGGATATCTGGCACTTTAATGCAGGATTTTGCCAAAAGTATGATGTGACCTACTTGGATGTAAGCTCCTCTGCAGGACACATTTCAAGGGCAGATTACACAGGAGTATAAAGGACAGCTCTCTACCGAACAGATTCCTTGGAAGGCTTTCACAGCGACTTAACAAAAAGGCTATTGGTAAATAGACTGCACATGTACTCCAAGGATGGGTTTAAGTGCTGTTTTCTTCAAACTGAACTTAGGATGGCATTTTCAGTACTAATTCCTGAAAAAGTTTCCTATGATAGTGCACTTTTAATACAAGGCTGCTACTTTCA